AATGGCGTGTAAGAAGCTCTTTCAAACTTGAACCAGGTATCTGAGCTTGTTTGTTTGATCATTTCTTGATGACCATTTCTTGTTTGCAGGAGGTTGGCTCTTGTGATCCTAGCAGCTGTTATGCTTGGTTTGGCATTTCTTGGCTTATGTAAGTTCTCTTCTATTGTTTGAAACATTGCAGGTGTTAGTTTTTAGTTCTCTTGCTTTCCTTCTGATATTGTGATGACTATGTTTTGCAGTATCCTCCATTTTTGGGATGACTTGCCTTGTATACTTGTAAGTGATGATTATATTCAAGTTATATATGTCCTAACTATTCTGAAACCAGAAATGACGGTGCTGAATGTTCTGCACTTTGTTAACTGCAGCCTGGTGATTCTAGGATGGATCCTTGTTGCTGGCACATTTATATTATGTGGCGTCTTTCTTCTTCTCCATAAGTAAGTTCCTTTTTGTTCTGTTCTCCCATTCGTTAATCGTTCACTCCCTCATCGCCCTTTTCACCCTACCAACCTCTGTCCATCATCGTTAAAATCTCCCTTCCAATACTCCTATGGTTGTTTGAAACCTCTCTCTCCATCAAACTTAATATGCTCTTGGTTTGGTCTTTCTCTTTCGTGTCATCTTATCATCGTCATCACCATCCAGTGTGGTGGCGGATACATGTGTGGCAATGGACGACTGGGTCCAGCACCCTACGGCCAAGACGGCCATGGACGATGTAATCCCATGTGTGGACATTGCAATTGCACAAGAAACGTTGGTGCAATCGAAGCAGGTCTCTTTCCATCTCATCAACTTGGTTGACAACTTCCTGGCCAATTTCTCCAACCGCAACTTCCCCCCAGAACTCGGACCTCCTCTCAACTACAATCAATCTGGTCCGTTGGTTCCTCTTCTCTGCAACCCCTTCGACTCCGATCTCACCGACAAGGACTGCGCTCCCGGGGAAGTCGGCTTCCAAAACGCTACTGAGGTAAGCATTCCCCCATGGATGATCAATCAGGAACTTTGTTACATGTCAGTGTATTTTGCTTAATGCTCTTAGTGTCACTGAACTTATTTCTTTCCAATGCAGGCATGGAAATCCTATGTGTGCCAAGTCTCGAGCGCCGGCACGTGCACAACGCCTGGCCGAATGACTCCACAGCTGTACTCCCATATGGCGTCCGCCGTGAACGTGAGCTACGGACTTTACCGCTATGGACCGTTCCTGGTGGAGCTACAAGACTGCACGTTCATGAGAAGAACGTTCACTGACATCAACACTTGGTACTGCCCCGATCTCCGACGGTACACGCAGTGGATCTACGTCGGGTTGGTGATTGTCTCGGCCGCGGTGATGTTGTCGCTGATCTTCTGGGTGATCTACGCCGGAGAGCGCCGCCACCGTGTCTACACCAAGCAGTTCATGATTGGTGGTGGAGATCACAATAGGGGTCTTGATCAGTGGCGGAGTAAGGAATTTTATGTAGGGGTATCCCTTTCAAAAATTAAATTTAAAAAATTTAAAATTTTTTAGATAAGATAATATCCGGCTAGTACAAGTTACTTACAACAAAAGTTCACGATATGTTATCATATTTGAGAAAATTATAAAAATACATTCACTGTCTACACTCTACAATGCTGAACAATTATCTTTCTGTATATCCTATTAGACAATTTTTTTGTCGATATTGTAGGGATGGCTAGTATGCTAACACTGTTTTTGTTAGTAGTGCTAACACTGGTTTCAACCAATAGGAATATTTGTTTGGATAACTTTTTTTATTTAAATGAGTTGACCACAACTAATGAAGGGGAATGAGGAACATGCTAGTCATTAATAAAATTTGGAGAAATGGGGATTCACATGTGTCTTGTGCAATTAAATGGGGAAGGAAAAATCCACACCATAAACCACAAAATTCTCACCACAAGCTTCTTAAAATAGTCCAGAAGTTTCTTTAACATTGGACCTATTTGTAATATTTAAAAAATTTAAGCATCAAAATGTAAGAGAAAAAGTAAGGTGCTAAAATGTATTTTTCCATCAATGTTTTAAGGACTAATATGTACAAAGTTTGGATACCAAATGATAATTGTCGAAAACATATTGATTTCATGTGGTTAATGTGATTACTTCATGATATGTTTGAGACATATAATGCTTGTTTTAGAGCTAACTGACCCTGGAATGGCTATAAGACCATTACCACCGTGTGTTAGAATTTTGATACGTTATAGGTGGAAAGCAAGGAAAAATGAATGCAAATGCTCAATGGTAGAAAAGCACTCCAGGGCCCGACCCAAAGCCAAACCAGTTTGGGTTATTCTTCAAATGATTTGGACCGGACATTGAAGGGAGAAGAGAGTAGCAGCAAGAGGAATTATTATTGAAGTAAAAACCCAACTCTTTCGTCTCTTGGTGGAGGATTAACTTGGACCGGAACGGTAGCGTAGAGGGAAGTTGGACCGGGAACCTTGCTTTTGGCGAAAGAAGATGGGCCAGAGGGAAGGATTTACTTGGGACGGAACGGAGGGTTTTTTTCACGGCCTTACTCTTGGTCGTGCGACTCTAGCTCTCAATTCTGTTAGAGATGCTAGGCAACCTTCTCACAAGCTCTCAAACTCACTCAACTCACAAGAAGAAGATACAAGAAGATGGGAGAAACTCTATAGTTGTATAGCTCACAAAAATGATGGATGAGTTACAAGGGAGGGAGATGGCTCCTTATATAGGCCTCTCCTCATACAAGGCATCAATGCCCCTCATAATGGTCCCTCCTCATTACTACACCCTATTAAGTTTCCCCCATAATGCACACCATTATACCACCTCATAATGTGGCTCTTTATGTGCACCATTAAGCTCATCTTCAAGATGGGGAATCCTAGGAGCATCATATGCTACTAGGTCTTCCTTAATGCCACACGTGCTTGACTTGGTAATGATCCGCCACATCATTCGCCATGTCGCCCGCCACGCGTGACATCCTCCCCCACCTATTCTCGCAACGCCCTCATCGCGTCCTTGCTACGAAATGCCTCCATCGACCTCGAGCAGCCTCTCTCAACTCTTGAGCCTCATTGGTGACATTCTCCTCCACTCAATCCACGACGCCCTCATCGTGGCTCTTTGGCAGACGCCTCCCTTTCCTTAGTTTCATTGCTTGCAAGGTCTTGTTGCGCCTTCCTCCAAGCCAAGGATGGCCTTGGCTCGCTCTCAAGCCTTGTGCTCCCATGAAGTTGCGCACTCCTCCGCGGTCGTCTCCGTCGCGTCTTCGAGTGTCCCGCCTTCTCGATCATGGTGGCCTTCCCTTACTTCTCCTGGCAAGTCGAAGATGACTCATCAGCGTCTCTCATGGCTCCACAATGTTGTGCACTCCTCCTTCTCGTCCTTCTCCAACGAGTCTTCGAGTGAGCCGGTACCTCCACCATTGTTGCCACTTCTCGATATCCTTGCCTTGCCAAACACTTCTTGTTTGACTCGAGTTGCTCTTGTTTGTCATGGGAACCGATCTTGGTCCGCCATTGATGTAGAATCTATTGGCGTAGGGGATCGGGAAAGCTTTTTCCCGCACCATGAACTCCATGCCGATGATGACCAGATAATCATCTAACGACACCACCTCAAATTCTGCCACCCCGGTCCATCCTCCAAGCTTGAGTGGCACCTGGCGCGCTACTCCACGAGTTCTTGTGGCCCTTGAGTTGGTAGCTTTCATCCACCCTCTTTGCTTCTTCTCGTACGTGATGCCTAGCCTTTGCGCTTCATCTATGTCGAGAAGGTTGCAGCTTGACTCAGTATCAAACAAGGCTTTTGTCTTCCTTTGGTTGAGCTTCGCCTCTACGAAGCATTGGCCGTGTTGCTCGGGATGGAGAGGCTCTTTTGTCCGCTTGATGGCGCTCAATCTCTTCATGCAACCAATCTTCGCGACATGGGGCTCCACTCTTGGAGTCGCCTCTGCTTCCTCTTCCGAGCTCGAGCACTCTGCTAGTACGGCCTTCATTGCCGACAACTTGTGCTTTCTTGGGCAATCTCTCACACGATGCGAACCATCACAAAGAAAGCAAGTAAGTGGTTTCTCAACCTTATGACTACCTCCTTGGTCCAGTCTACCACGCCTTCGTGCGTCTCTGTCATAGTCGCGTCCACCTCCATTGCCTCCGAATTCCACACGTTCCTCCGGCTCGTGGTACTCGACTAGGGACTCGGTAATCGCTTTTGCCTAGGCAAGACTTTGCACGCCTTGCCGTTGTAGCTCCAATGTCGCCCATGGTTGGAGGCCGTCAAGGAAGGTGAACACGGCCTCCTTGTCAGTATAGTCGAGGATCTCGAGCAACAATTCAGAAAACTCCTTCACATACCCTCGAATCTCTCCTTCTTGAGCAAGCCTCCTTAGTCTCTACCTGGCTTCAAACTCAACATTCTCGGGGTAGAATTGCCTCTTGATCTCCCTCTTGAAGTCATCCCATGACTCCATCATGCACGTCCCTTTATTGATATCACCTTGGGTCCTTCTCCACCACAGCATAGCAACATCACTCAAGTAAAGAGGTGCAGTGTAACATCCTAACCTGGCCGGGTACTACTTTTACTAAAATGCCCTTGAAAATAGAATACTCAAATCTTAAATTGCAGCGGGAAAAATTTCATAATAAAATACTGAAAACACACTCTTGTAGTTCAAAGCAACGCCCTAACACATGGACAAACTCAATACTTAAAATCTCAAAATGATCTCCAGTCTATACTCATAATCATAAATGTAAATAACTAATAATCTCTAATGTTGTTGCTACTGGAAACCTTGACTAAGCATCCTCTATGATGCTTATACTGCTATCTTCTAGCTGGCTGCCCTCGAACTCGCTGCTCATTAACTGCTCCTCTAGCTCTTCAAACTGGTGAGTGAGATGGGGTCAATCTACACCCTTACGTTTAACATCTTATTAATACTTTATCGCTTTACTTAACTTAGTGGAAGTTGTTTTGTACATCCACTATTAAAAATCTTAACTCTTAAACTGTATTCTTAAAGTTGAAATCTCAACTTAAATTCTTGACTGACATGGGGATCCCTCACTAGCTAGTCCGGTTGCGAACTCATACGTATGAGAAGCCATCAAGGCTTTCCTTAAACTTAAACTTATCGTGGAAGGCTCTTCTTCCACGATTCTCAAGAGCATAACTGCTGCTCAACTTAAATATCTCAAGAGCATAACTGCTGCTCTGTCTCAAAGATCTCAAGATCATAACTGCTGCTCTATTTGAAAATCTCAAATGGCAACGGACTGGCGCTAGTGACTAAAAACACTTAAAACGATTTCACCTTCTTCGAAGGTGAAGTATGTCTTAAAAGGGATTGTTCTTAAGCTTTAATAATCACTCATAAACATATACTTCAAAGTAAGAGATAAACTCATACATCTTCACTTCAAATCATAGCTCAACCAAAGCACATACTATCAAACATAATCATGCAATCTCAAACATGAATCAAACACTGCACATACATCACGTAAATCAATACTTGAAAATACTCAAGACAAATATTTGAAAAACCGTAAGGCGTAGAATTTACCCCCTTACACTCACCTTACTTCCGTTGGAACTGGCTCTGATTTTGCTCCAAAGTTTCCATACCCACTTCCAAGATAATAGTACACTTGTACTTGCTTGAATAAAAGGGAGCAGCTTGCCTGGCAAATGGAATTAAATGGAGCAGCTTGCTTTTGGCAAATGGAATTAAATGGACCAGCTTGCTTTGGTTATTATTGGCATCCAAGTCACGATGGAGATGGCAATAACAACAAGAATGGAGCAGCTTGCCTTGCAAATGGAATTAAATGGAGCAGCTTGGTTTTGGCAAATGGAATTAAATGGACCAGCTTGCTTTGGTCATTATTGGCATCCAAGTCACGGCGGAGATGGCAATAACAACAAGACGAGACCTGCTTGGCGGAGATGGCGATGGGCGATGGCAATAAAACGAGCTGCTTAAACAAGCAACTCTCAGAGGGAAAAAGAAGTCTTTTGTGGATGTGGAGATTGCAATAATAACAAGACGAGATTGCTTAAGCAAGCAACTCTCGTAGAGGGGAAAAAAAGCCTGTCGTTGCTGCTGCTCCTCATCTCATCGTCCACAGGGGAGATAGCAATAACCATGAGACGAGCTTGCTTAAGCAAGCAACTCTCGTGGTAGAGGGGATGATGGTCCTCCCTTCTCCTTGCCTTGATTACCCGATAGCAAGTCTGCCACCTAGCAATAACAAGGAGATTCCCCTTCCGATGGCAATAACACGAAGACGAGCTTTCTTAAGCAAGCAGCTCTCCGAGATATGCTCTGCGATTCCCCCGAGCTTGCAGCTCTCGTAGTAGAGGGAGTAATATGCGTTGATTTTCCGGGTCCGGATAGCAAGTTGCTTTTGGAGGAGGAGTAAAAGGATGCGTGGGTTTTGCTATTGGGGTGAGGCCGAGTGCGGTAGAGGGTTTAGGGTTTAATTAGTTAGAGGATGTTTTGGGAATCTCACAGTTGCGTGTGAGTTTAATCCGAAACTCAATTAATGTTATAACTTCCTCAATTTATGTCCAAATTTGACACCGCTTAAACCAACATTTAACATTTTTAGTCCTCGTTGATATTATGGTGGTACTTGACCCAAGGGTATAATAGTCATTTTTATTTTTGGGAAGAGCGGGGTGTAACATGCAGTTTTTACCTTGGTATTCTCATCTCGAATACCCGAAGCTTCAAAGTATTTCTCCAAGTTCCATAGGAAGTTCTCTAACTCCCTGGCATTCCTCGACCCTTGAAAGCTTCACCTCCATTCTAGAGGTAGGTTGTGCGATGGCAGGTCCGTTAGCCAGGGCCCTCTTCACAAGCGTCACCTCGCTTTTGAACTCCGCAACCTTCTCCTTCAAGACGATCACCTCTGCAGCAACCGCCTCCTTCATTACCTCAATGGCATCGTTCATGGAGGTGGAGATGGTGTCTTTGATGAGGGCCATGAGCTCATCTCGAAGCCCTTCATTGCCAACCTCCAAACTCGTCACTCTAGCCGCCACACTTTGAACATCGCCTTGGATTTGGGTGAAATTAGCTCCCAAATCCTCCATGACGGTGACATCTTTTGAAAGCTTCACCTCCATTCTAGAGACTCGCTTCTCTAGAGACTTTAGAGGATCCCGAGTGCTCGACGTGCCTTTTGACCTCGAGCCCGGGTTAGGATCTCTTCCACGTTGCTTCTCCTTCTCACCATCATCATAGACTTCTGATCCAGCCATCTTTGGTGAGGCTCTCGCTCTTTCTTATCTTCCTTCTTGGGGAGCGAGGACACTGATTCTTCTTTCAGAACCAGGCTTTGATACCAACTGTCACAGCCTTACTCTTGGTTGTGCGGCCCTAACTCTCAATTCCGTTAGAGATGCTAGGCAGCCTTCTCACAAGATCTCAAACTCACTCAACTCACAAGAAGAAGACACAAGAAGATGGGAGAAACTCTATAGTTGTATTGCTCACATAAATGATGAATGAGTTACAAGTGAGGGAGATGGCTCCTTATATAGGCCTCTCCTCATACAAAGCATCAATTCCCCTCATAATGGTCCCTCCCCATTACTACACCCTATTAAGTTTCCCCCATAATGCACACCATTATACCACCTCATAATGTGGCTCTTTATGTGCACCATTAAGCTCATCTTCAAGATGGGGAATCCTAGGATAATCATATGCTACTAGGCCTTCCTTAATGCCACACGTGCTTGACTTGGTCATGATCCGCCACATCATTCGTCATGTCACCCGTCACGCTTGACATCCTCCCTCACCTATTATTGCGACGCCCTCGTCGCGTCCTTGCTACGAAATGCCTCCATCGACCTCGAGCAGCCTCTCTCGACTCTTGAGCCACGTTGGTGATAGTTTTTGGCGATAAAAGGAGTTGGCAATTAAAAGCAGAAGTTGATCAGGGCGGAATGCAATTGGCTGGGGAAGAATCGGACACGGAGAAGACAGCATCTTGCGGGTGAACTGGGACAGGAGTGAGCAGTCGAGCGAAGCATCGGCGCTTTGCGGCGATCGCGAGCAAGGAGCAGAACATGCGGAGCAACGGGGAAGAAAATATCAGTATTCTTTTCCTTTTGCTTCAATTCGATTATGATTATAAACATGATTGAGTGCTTTATTTTCGTCATGAACTAACCCCAATTTATTGGGGAAACATCATAGGATGTAGCTATTTCTAGAATTGATGGATTGATTCATATTTCTTTTCTTCCAACCTCTATTGCATGGAATTGCTTAATGTTTTCTGTTGACTGGCCACTAGGGATGGCAATCAAACCCATGGCCGCGGGTATCCGACCGCCCCCGACCCAGTCAACGCGGGGAATCCCCGCTTTGACCGGGTATGGGGCGGGTATGGGTAAAACCCGCAAAAAGTTTGATGGTATGGGGCGGGTATGGTTTTAGCTTCCCCCGCCCCATACCCATCCCCATACCCGCCCCACCAAGATAATTTCTTCATATAAAAAAAATATGTGCATCAAATTATAATCTATCAATGACGATGAGGATAACTTGAGAAAATAAATAGTAGAAACGCAATTGAGTGACCACCTTAATCAAAATCTAATTCATTTCTCTCAATTCTCATTTCACTCTTTCACGTTCCCCCTTGTCAACAAGATTATGTTAGTTAATTATTATTTAGTAGATGTATCAGAGTTAGAACATAATAATTTGAAAAATATTATACTCTATATTATGTATTAATGGATATTTTAGGATCATAATCTTGGAACCATATTAAAAAATGGGCGTGTTTTGTTGACTACATGATATAATATGTTCGTTTAGAGTTATAATTAGAACTTTTCTTGTAAGTTTTAGGTATAATAATGTTGGATTACGGGTATGGGTATTACCCATGGGTACCCGAAACCCACGGGTATGGGGATGGGTTTGCAAAACATTCCCCCGCATGGGTATGGGGCGGTATGGGTTTGGGTATTTGAAGATGGGTATGGGGATGGTTTAAGCAAACCCGCTCCAAACCCGCCTCATTGCCATCCCTACTGGCCACCAATACAATGATTTGTAGTTAATTAGGTTATTAGCGACAGTGAAACCCTAATAGCTGAACCTATTTCATGTGACATAGTAACTTATCGAAGGGACAGTGGATTAAATAAGGTGCTATGTCTTGATTGAGATATCGAACTTCAGGCTGAATAATTAACTCATTGAGCTACGAAATTACGCATTGGAGGATCCAATATGTAAAATGCTCAGTGAATCTCGTTTGCTTTTATCATTTCTAGAAGAAAGTATCATTCTAAGCCTTGTTCATATATAGCTTGATGCCCATAAAAACATGCTTCCTTTCCTATGATTAATTTTTTAGGTAATGAGTCATTTCATGACTATTGAGGTTGTTGTCGATTATTTGTCTTCCACGAATAATGTCATTTGACATAATCATAGGGAAATTCTATATATGGAACGAATCTTTCTAATCTATTGGCTAATAGCTTCGTTCCTAGTTTGTAGAACACTTGATAGAGACAAATCGATATCAATTGTTTCATCGTCTTAGCTTTCGTACTTTTAGAAACCAATGCAATTTATGTATGACTAAAGTCACGGAGAAGGCATCATGAGCGTAAAATTGATAGCACGGTCGTTGTTACCTCATTGTTGGATAAGGTACATCTCTGTTTCATTGCTGAATTTTTTTGTCATCGATGTGGAAAGTTGATAAAAGGAAACAAATTCAATTTCTCTTGAATTTGAATTTGCATCCAGCTTGAGGTGAACACCCCTACAAAATACTGAAATAGTACTCTTTTTCTCACTCTCTTTTTGAATAGCTACGACATACCAAAAAGCACCACATCACATAATGTTTCATACCAACTCCATATATCACAATCAATCATCATCAAGAAAGCAGAAACTTTAACGCATTTTCTAAATCATATGCCAAATAATCGTCATGCTTACGAGAATGTGGGCAACGGAGAGCAGAAATCTAAAGAACACACGATATTTTTAACGTGGTTCACCCTGGTGCAATGGGCTACGGCCACACCTACGACTCTATTTTTATTTTCTTTACGATCTAACTTACACATACAAAGAAGCAAATCGAAATAAAGACTCAAAGAAAGAAATTCTAGAAACAAAGAAGAATGACGAATAAACAACCCAAATTCCAAACTCCGGAATTTGTATCAGCCACTAGCAAAGAACCTCTTCCCCTTTACTAAACCCTTTTGTTTAGAAACCCTTTTCCGTTCTCTCACAAAAGTGAAGAGGCAATACGTTTCAGTCCCTTTTATAGAAGAGGAGGAGGTGGTTTGAGTGAGTTGGAACCTTCCTTATTTGCAATGCTTGATCAAAGGAGTGATTCTTGTGCTGTGATTATGAAATCAATCAGTTGATTGATTTCGACTTGATTTTCAAGATTCTAGGATGATGATTTATTCCCAACGAGCTATTTTGTCGATTGTCTCTGATTTCCCAAATCTTCCTACATGGGCAACGGAGAGCGCGATGGGCCTCACAATCCTCTGTTTCAGCACAAGGATCGAATGCGAACTTGAAGTTGCTACAGAGTCCAACAGGGAACGACTCATCGGCTCTGTAACCGTCGCCTCTCTTGTTGCTGTAACCGGGATAATCTCCAACCCTGAAATCGACCTGTTCCACCAACACCAGCGAGTTCCTGTGAGCAAGCTCCACGATGTTCCAACAGCAGAACGGTTGTGCAGTTTTGTGGGTCACATGGACTTGTCCATTGGGCCGCAACATTCCTGATGCGCTCTTCAAGAAACTGTACACCAGTTGCTTGTGCTGTGCGATGACCCACTGGCTCGCTTCGCCATGTCCGTGATGAAACCCTGCGTGCGGGAAATTGAAAATGATGCGGTCGAACTTGCGACCGCACAGCTCTGCAGTAGCATTCAATTGGGTTGCATCCACGTTGTGCAGCACTTGCGCTCCCATCGTTGTCAGCAACTGGAGGTTGGATCCGGCCTTGTCATATTTCAGGCTTAATTCCCCTAATAATGAAATCCAGATTCCAATCATTAATCGTTTACAGAGTTACATAAGAATTTAGCAGGAGTAGACGATTTAGTTTACCTTTAGTGTCGAGGGAGGTGGAGACCATGTTGGAGGCAGAGCCCAATTTGAGAGCCAAAGATAAAGAGAAGGAGAAATCTCCTTCCCCAACTAACAGTATCTTATGTTGGATGCTGAGCCCATTTCGCTGCGCATCCGCCATCTTTCGTTTCTTTGAGTTTCCTGGAAACCAGAAACAGAGAGAGCCTCTGTTTTTGTTGTACAGAAGATCAGATGGAGGGCAGGGCAGGACAGAACCGCAAAATCGAATCTTTATATACCCTGCGTACGTTACTCTAGTAGAGTAGAGCCTAGCCGTAGTGGTGATTGGGAGGATTAAATGAACTCTGTCATTTCCCATACAAGTAACTGGAGGGTCATTTTTAAGTTTCGATCGACCCTCTCTCTCTCTCTGTTCCAATTCAAATTCCTGTGTTTATTCATAAAGCTCTGCTCTCGGTTCCAGTGGTTGGCGCCCGCCCAACCTTTCGCCTCTCTTTTTTCTTGGAAAACAGAGCAGCACAAACGGGCCAAGATATTAATTGAATGAATGCAAATCATAATCAAGCAGTATTTCCATGGACAAGGCTGTTGATGGCAAGTTTCGAACCTTGGGTTGGCGCGAAGACAGTTTGCTTGGCGCCCAAACGCAGGATTCAAATGTCTTCAGCTAAACTGTGTCGTATGGATAATTTGTGCGTGGTCACTGAAGTTTGTAATTTGTCCAGTGAATCTGATTTGCTTCATCATTTCTAGAAGAAAGTGTCGTTCTATTCTATCATAAGTCTTATTCGAATATAACTTTATGCCCATAAAGGACATGCTCCCATTCCTATGATTTTTCACATTCATGATTAATTAGGATGTTATCAATTATTCGTCTTCCACGAATAAAGTCATTCTGGCATGGAGAGATGACATATTGAAAGGCTTCAGTTAATCTATTGGCTAATAGCTTCGCCGTCTCTTTGCAGATCACTTGACAGAGGCAATCGATCTCAACTGTCTCAGTGTCCGAACTTTTAGGAACCAACGCAATCTATGTATAATTAAAGCTTTAGAGAAGGCATTCTAAGCGGGGAAAAATACAAGTACAATTGTCATCATCTCGTTAACTATCGTGCCTCAATTAGGTATCTCCGTTTTGTAGGTGAATTTTTTATCACCAATATGGGAAGTTGATAAAAGGAAATAAAATTCAATTTTCTCACGTAGCAAGTTTTCAACCTTTGTTGTTTGTAACAGCTGAAGTCAAACTTTGAACACATGATGAAACCAACCATTTCCTCAAGAACATGCATGTACTGTACCACAAGTCTCTTTTGCCCATTTGTCAGTCTTCAATCTTCATGCAAATCTGAAACTGCCCTCATCCTCCACCTATAAAAACCAAACAAAACCCACTTCCATTCATCCAAAACAAATCCTTCGAAGCATTCATAATCATCCAAAACTCCACCATGGAATCTGTCAAAGAAATCCCCATGAGTAGCCAAACCCCACCACCAAAATACATCTATGAAGACCACCATGACCATCCTGCTCTTCTTCCAATGATAGACCTTCCCATCATCGATATCAGCCAACTCACTACTGCAGAAGCAGATCAGAACCTCCGATCAGCTCTAAGCGAATACGGTTGCATCATGGTATTCAATCATCATTTCATCTGAGAATGGATGTTCAAATTTGTGACAGAAGAATTGATTGATTTCTGCTGTCTGTGTTTTCTTTCTTGTGCAATCTGCAGATAACAAACCATGGAGTGGAGAGCTGGTTGCTGGAGAAAGTGGGGATGGTGTTCAAGCAATTCGTGGCTCTACCAGAAGAAGAGAAGCTGAAATGCAAGAGGGAAGCTTTTCAAGGCTTTGGAGCTGACCCTGCCCTAGCTGGAGATCTGCTTCCTGTTGATTGGTCTGCTAGATTGGTCCTCAACGTGCTCCCCCAAGAGTTTAGAGAACTCAAGTATTGGCCTGAGAATCCACCAGAGTTCAGGTAATCATATCTATTTTGCACATAAAACAAATTTGAGCATATTGTCAATCAAGTTCTGGTCGAGTGGTTGTGACGACGGACTCTAAACTCAGAGGTTTGAGGTCAAACTCAGAAATTATGGTTTCGAAGTTTTTAACGGAAGTTTGGAATATTAAAAAGAATAGTCGTTATGCTCATTAATTTCATGTAATTTGTTCAAAAAATCGAGGTTTGTATCACATTAGCCAAATAATAGATAAAGATTGTCACATAAACCCTCTAAATAACTATAAGATAAGAGGATAAAACGTTAACATAATTTAGTATGTAGATTTCGACGGTAACTATATACGGTCACATATAACCCTCTAACAACTATCACATATGGCAAGCTAAACGATTACACAGTAATTAAAAATGTAACTTGCCATGAAATTGGATTTTCTATTGAAAAACAAGCATTTGATGATTTGATCACATGAAACAACGATGCAGGGAAGTTGTGGATGAATACGGGAGCAAGATGGTAACAGTCCATGAAGTCATCCTGAAGGCACTGGCCAGGTCACTAAACCTGAAAGAAACCACCTTTCTGGACAAGATTGGAGAGCCATGGATACTGTATGCAAGGTTCAACTTCTACCCTCCATGCCCGATGCCGGATCTCGTCTTTGGCCTCAAGCCGCACTGCGACGCGACGGTCCTGACGGTTCTCCTGCAGGACAAGGAAGTTCATGGCCTGCAGATTGAGAAAGATGGCCAGTGGTTCAGAGTTCCCATCGTTCCAGGTGCCCTTGTTATCAACGTTGGAGAACAACTTGAGGTAATGCAGTAAAAAAAAAGGAAACCATTCTACAGTAATTAATTTATGGGATGGAGGGTAACTGTTTTTGTGTTTCTTGTTCTGGTGCAGATACTGAGCAATGGAGAGTTCAAGAGCTCGCACCATAGGGCAACGGTGGATTCCGAAAGACAGAGGACTTCTATGGCTATGATCTGTCTGCCTAACCCGGAAGTGGAAGTTGGACCAGTTGAAGAGCTGGTGAGTGAAGAGAGGCCATTGCTGTTCAGGAAGGTGAAATATGAAGAAAGTCTGCAGCTCCGTTACTATCAGACTGGGAAGAGAATCATTGATGATGCAAGAATTTGAATGAAATTTTCCAGGCTTTTTCAAATTACCCTGCTCTGTGTTTTTCAGTTTCTGCAATCTCAATTATGTTCTGGCATGATCCATTTGTAGAAGAAAATGAAAACTTTTCTGTTTCAAGGCAAAATCTGATCTCAGGTAGGGTCTAACTCATCTTTTGAAAGTCAGAATGAATGAACGAACGCAACGAACAATATTACATCTGAAACCGAAGAATTCGATGCAGTCCTCCGCAAATCAGCTGATCTCGAACGACGTCGTGCAAACGATCATCGTCCACGCGAAGACATCTCTCTGGGGCATTTCATCGAGCACCTTGACGGACAAACCAGTGCTCTCAAAATCAAAGAAAACTCTAACAAGTAGAGCTGCAGGCTTTGAGCAAGGACGAAACTGTTTCACTGTCATTGGGAACGGGGTCTCATCAGTAACGACAAGAAAAACAACTCACCTTGTCAGTTCCTTGCAAATTTTCAAGCTTGTTGTAACAACCATCAGAAATGCATGTCCCATACGTGGATACTATGCACGAATCCTTCAGAACCCAGAACACCTTTTAGCCCATTTGTCAGTCTTTCATGAAAACTTGAAACTGCCCTCGTCCTCATTTGCCCTATAAGAACAAACATAAGCACACTCACTATCATCCATCCATCCATCCATCCAAACAAACCCTTCATTCATAACCAGCTAGCCGACCCACCATGGAAGTTGTGAAAGAAATCCCAATCAGTGGCAAGAACCCAGAATCCAAATACATCCGTGGAGGCAACCATGACAACCCTTCGCTGCTTCCATTGATAGACCTTCCAATCATCGACCTTGGCCAGCTCACTGCTCCATCCCAAGCCACTGAAGAAGCTGATCAAAAGATCCGTTCGACTCTCAGCACATACGGCTGCATGATTGTCAGCTTTTTTTTCTTGCCTTTCCTTCTTTTGACGTTTCATTTTGACTGCTCAAATTTTGATTTGAGATTTGGTGATGGTTTACTGTGTGTACAGATAACAAACCATGGAGTGGAGAGTTGTCTTGACAAAGTGAGGACGGCGTTCAAGCAATTCGTCTCGCTGCCAGAAGAAGAGAAGCTGAAATGGAAGAGGGAAGTTGATGGTTTTGAAGGGTATGGGACTGACCCTGTCCCTGGAGATTTGCTTGTTCGCGATTGGTCTGCCAGATTGAGCCTCACTATTCGTCCAGAGGAGTTCAGACAGTTGAAGTATTGGCCTGAGAATCCAGCTGAATTCAGGTATCACACAGTGCACATAAGTACAAACTCAATTCAATTAGCTAAAACCAAATTCGTCATCAAACTTGGATTTTTAACCAAAATAAGGAATACGAGGAAGGGATCCGGGTGGTTCGGGGTAATGTAGAATTGAATCGAGATACTGATTTGGTTAAAATAGGGAATCAGCAGAATTACACAAAATCAGAACTGTAGCATGCCCATGTCATACCAGATTCTACTACTACTCTAGTACTCTTCCACATAAAATGAGATTTTCTCTTCAAACAACAGCTTTACAACTTTAAAAAAAAAAAAAACATGAGAAAGGAGCATTTGATTACATGAAACCGGTGCAGGGAAGTTGTGGATGAATACAGCAGCAAGTTGGTAACAATCTATGAAGTCATCCTGAAGGCACTGGCCAGGTCACTCAACCTGAAAGAAACCACCTTCCTGCACAAGATGGGAGAGCCATGGATAATGAATGGAAGATTCAACTTCTACCCTCCATGCCCGAGGCCAGATCTCGTCTTCGGCCTAAAGCCACACTCCGATTCGACCGTGCTCACGGTTCTCCTGCAGGACAAAGAACTGGGAGGCCTGCAGATTGAGAAGGACGGCCAGTGGTTCAGAGTTCCCATCGTTCCAGGCGCCCTTGTCATCAATGTTGGGGAGCAGCTAGAGGTAATATAGTAAATCATTCACAGCGAGTAATTAGTCGGTGGAGGTAGCTCTTTCGCTTTCTTTTCCTTAACATGACTAAATGGAGAGAAATATGTGGCAGATACTGAGCAATGGGGTGTTCAAGAGCTTGTACCACAGGGCAATGGTGGATTCAGAAGGGGAGAGAATCTCCCTGGCTATGCTTTCTCTTTCAAACCCGGAAGTGATAGTGGAACCGATTGAAGAGCTTGTGAATGAAGAAAGGCCACCAATGTACAGGAAGGTGAAATATGAAGAAACTACCCATTTCCTGTACTACCAGAGTGGGAGGAGAGTCATTGATGATGCCAGAATTTGAAGCTCTCTCTTTGATAAAAGTCTGCAACTTTTCCAACTTGCCCTGATCCAGTTTTCCGAGTCTGTAATCTGAAGTTTGTGTTGAAAATTCCATTTCCAGGCACATTGAACAGAGGAATAGACTTTTTTGAACACAGGGGAATAGACTATGATAACGAAATCAAATTACTCTATGAAATCTTATTGAACCCCTTTTTCTTCCTTTCAACCAAATCCAGACAGGATCAGAGCTTCGAGAGGGCTGGTTTGTCAACTTCCAAACCCAGGATCGCACAAAGCTCCGGGTACAGGCTCTTCCTTATCTCCTTGTAAATCTCGCCGTTCCACTTCCTCGATGCCAACTTCTCCGCCAGCTGCATTCCAGCACCCTTGACCTTCTCCTCGCCATCGTAAGCACCGTCAACGATCCCCAGCTTCACCGCCTCCGCTCCCTTCACCTTCGTCCCTCTCAACAGCACATCTCGCCGGGCGGCGACGGAACCGAGCTTTGCCCGGAACAGCACCGAGAAATAGTCAGGGAAAGGAAGCCCCAAATCGACCTCGCTCATGTACAAAACGCCTCTGTCGCTCCTCATAAACACGTAATCGTGGCTCAGGGCCAGGCTGAATCCGGCGGCGGCGGCGTGGCCCTGGACGACGGCGACGGTGGGCATCGGGAGGGAGATCAGCTCGGCGACAATCGGCCGGAACGATTCCACCATTTGGTGCAGCCGCAAGAAGGCATCGGATGGGGTTGCGGCGGATCTCGCCCAGCCGAGATCGAATCCGTTGGAGAAGAATTTGCCCTGGGAGGTGGTGATGAGGACCGAGCCTCTGGTGGCCTGCGATTTGGCTTCGCGGAGAGCAGATAGGACGGCGGCGATGAGGGTTGGGCTGAGACGGTGGTCGTCGTTTTCACCGGTGAGTGTCAGGATGAAGAAATCGCCGCGCTTCTCTAGAGTACACATCGTGGTCTTCAGTTTGGGGGAAAATGCAGAAAGGAGGATGGTGGAAATTGGAAGAGTGGTGTGTTCTTTGTGTGTGGATTAGGGATTTAATAAGAGCAACGAAATAGGATAGGACGACAGGATGGATAATTAATTAAACTATTAAAGGGGATTCCTTCATTTACCTAATTTTGGGTAAATGCCACATTCATCATTGGATTACTAAATCGTGTTATGTTTATTAACTAGAACAAATTAATATCAATTTTGGTCATTCACTCATCTCTGTTCAACTTCGGTAACTCGAATTACTTCTTTTTTTTTTATGAATGTCACTCGAATTTCTGAAACATGTCACATTTGGTCACTTTCCGTTAGCCTCCATCCAACTCCGTTAATGGATTTGGACGAAAATTGACAGAAGAGTGACTAAAAGTGAAAAAATTATATTAATTTTTTTAAGTGACTAAACATGACATGATTTAGTAATCTCAGTGACCAAAATATCTAAAAAATTGTGAAATCATACTAAATAAGACGGAAAATATCTAAAGATTTGTGAAATCATACTAAATAAGTCAAAACGAAGATATTTTCATTTTGAGATTAAATAGTGAATTAACTCTTTTAGGTCACAAGGAGCTTATACCATTTTGACCTTCAATATGTCAATAAAAATCCGGACTATATAGAATCCTATATGAAATGAAACGATAACCGTATAAACAAACACAAGGAAAGAGAACCCTGTATGAAACGGCGATGACACTCACACCTCAAATAGAGAAAGAAAAGTTGCAGAGACCAAAAGAAGCTCACTGGAAAAGAACTCGAAAGATGAATAAGACACTGGGGTTTACACGAAAAATGTAAATGTTTTTTGCTTGCTAATGAAGAAACATATAAAACTACAAGTCACAACTCTCTTTTTCGCCTTGGCCTCGAGGATTCACCATTACCGACAATGTTCTTCTCCTCACCATATCTATCTTCGTCGTTATCAAAGACCATGAACAAAAGCTACAGACTACATATAAACTGAACTATCTGAGAAAAGAAGGCCATTGGAGGGTGGAGGATGGGGGGTTTTGGGGGAAGAGGATGAGGGTAAGAAGAAGGCAGACAGCAAGCATCTTGATGCTCCTCTGGTTGGATACTTCGCCATCAATGGCATACTCCTCATATCTTGAAGAGCAGGCCACCGTGAGTGGCAAAGAATGGGGCAAAGACAAGGGACTCGACAGCCATGAGCTTGATGAGGATGTTGAGCGATGGTCCGGATGTGTCCTTCAACGGGTCTCCGATGGTGTCACCAATGACTGCTGCCTTGTGTGGGTCTGATCCTTTCGGACCGAGTGATCTTGCGTGGTCTGATGCACCAGCCTGGAACAAAACCCACAAAAAATCAAGATTTTACTCTAATTCAACGAGAAAAGTGGAGCAAGCATTCTACAATTCAAAAGGGAAGAGACGAAGCAGATGTATTTTTACCTCAATGTACTTCTTGGCATTGTCCCATGCACCGCCAGTGTTCGATGCAGAGATAGCAATCTGCAGTACACAAAAAAGCATAACCAGCATTAAGAACAAGTCAAGTATCGAGAGCCATTCAGGATCAGCGATATAGAGATCTGACATCTGGCTTTTACCTGCACACCAGACACGAGAGATCCAGCAAGGACACCGGAGAGGGTTTCCACGCCAAAGAAGATGCCAACGATTAGAGGAGTGAGCATGACAAGGGCACCAGGTGGAATCATTTCCTTGATGGAGGCATCGGTGGAGATCTTGACGCAGGTGGCATAGTCAGGCTTAGCAGTGCCTTCCATTAGTCCAGGGATGGTGTTGAATTGCCTGCGAACTTCCTCAACCATCTTCAATGCTGCACTTCCAACAGACTTCATCGTCATAGCAGAGAACCAGTATGGAAGCATAGCTCCGACAATCAAGCCAATAAATACTTTCGGTGTCAACACATCGACAGTTGTGATGGATGCACGGCTGACAAAGGCACCAAAGAGTGCCAACGAGACGAGGGCAGCAGAACCAATAGCGAAACCCTGAAAATTTTTGGAAGAATTGAAGAGTTGAGCAAACTATAGCGACTTAGCAGATGATGATGCTCAAGAAACAGCTTCTCTACAATGATAGAAAACATTTAACTGTAACCAAAACAAGTGAAAGAATCTGGTTCTCAAGAAAGCAAACTTAATACGCACGCAAAACTCCATTTTAGTTTAACCAAACCCCGGGAAATTTAATGTTGGTTTCTCACTAACCATTATCCACCCAATGAAAAAATGGCGCACAAAACAAAACAGCTGTTATCATTCTCACTTTTGTCATTTAACTAGAGAAATAGAAGACCACGCACGTAAACAAGTGGTCCAAGGCAGTTGCAGGGATTGGTTCCTTATCTAACTCCTCGGGAAGAAGAGGGGGAAAAATCACGGCTTTCTCTTTCAAAATGAACAAATAATTCCAGCAAAACCACAAAAAGAGAAGTGGGGCAGCTAATCCATGTCATCCATATCCTAGAGGTGTGTGCCACACTAGTCGTGGTCCCATGGTCACAAAATCATTTGACACCACCCACTGATACGTCAGATGAAGAACAAGAAGTAGATAACTTCGAAAAAAAACAACAGGAAAAAAGAAGAGATTTAAGAGATATTTTCAAAGAAAGATTCCAACCTTGCCAATAGCAGCAGTGGTGTTTCCTGCAGCATCGAGGGCATCAGTTCTCTCTCGGATTCTGTGGCTCATTCCTGCCATCTCAGCGATACCTCCAGCATTGTCGCTAATGGGACCATAAGCATCAATGGCCAATCCAGTGGCGATGGTGCTCAACATTCCAAGTGCAGCTACTGCAATGCCGTACATAGCAGCAAAGCTGAAACTAACAAAAATGCTAATAGCGATGGCAAAGATGGGGATGATGACAGATTTGTATCCCAATGCAAGCCCGAAAATGACATTAGTGGCAGCTCCAGTTCGGCAAGAATCCGCAACGTCTTGAACAGGGCTGCAAAAGAAAAGAAAAAAATTTAAACCCAACAGAAAAAATTAAGTGCTATTACTAATTCAGAAAAGAGATGAACAAAGCTGAACTTCAGGTTTCCAAAGTTGTTTTTACCTGTATGCATTGCTGGTGTAGTACTCGGTCACAAATCCAATGATAAGTCCAGCCCATAGACCAACAGCAACACACAAGAACAGTTGCCTGGATGGAGAAAGGAGTTCAGTGACAAAATTCTTCACAGACGATACCATAAATATAACAAAATATATGGTGAGCGAAAATCACACCAGTTCGTCACATCCTTCTGTGTTCCGAAATTGAAAATAGTGAAGGAAGCTGGAAGAGCGACCCAGCTAACAACGGCAATCCCGACAGTCATGAGAACAGTTGAGATGACAAGCTGCTTTTTCAGAGCTGGCTCGATTTCTTTCACAGCCTTGATCTCGAAGAAATCAGTGGCAAACAAAGTGGTGATCAAGCAAACAAGGATTCCTACTGCACTGATAATGAGTGGGTAAAGCATAGCTGTGAACTCGTGGTTAATCCCAAAAGATGAGATGGACGCAACCACCAGGGCAGCACATGAAGACTCGGCATATGAACCGAAAAGATCGGATCCCATACCAGCAATATCACCAACATTGTCACCGACATTGTCAGCAATCACCTGGAGAAAACAAAAGCAAGGTATAAACAATGATTTAACCAAAAGACATCCCAGTTCTTAAGCAAGCTAGAAATATTTAGTTGCTTACAGCTGGATTTCTGGGGTCATCCTCAGGTATATTCCTCTCAACTTTTCCCACAAGATCAGCACCAACATCAGCAGCTTTAGTGTAGATTCCACCACCAACTCTACCAAAGAGAGCCATGGAAGATCCCCCGAGACCATAACCAGTAATAGCTTCGAAAAGACCACCCCAGTCATCTCCATAGTAAAGCTTGAAGAGGTTGATGGTAATGTAAAGAACCACTAGACCATTTGCAGCCAAGAGGAAACCCATGACTGCACCGGATCTGAAGGCCACAATGAAAGCCTTCCCTACTCCTTTCCTTGCCTCGAGAGTTGTCCTAGCATTTGCATAGGTGGCAATCTTCATCCCAAGGAACCCAGAAACCACAGAGGTCACAGCCCCGAGCAAGAAAGATATGGTACTGAAAGCAGCAGTAGCCAGGGCAGGCTTGCACATCTTGGTTGCGTCGTAGGTGCAA